CTAGAGTCCATTGAGTTCTACCATGACAGAAATATCCTCCTTGGGTGCAGCACCCTGAGGGCTAGCAGGCTGCCCAACTTGATGGACAGCACTTCCACAAGCCAGGGACCCACTATTTTGCTTTCAAGAATGGTGATTTACTTACTCTTCACTGTGTGGTGTCTCAGGTTGCAGCGGTGCAGACTCTGCCATACCTGTGGGGAAGGAGAGTGCCCAGGCACATGGATGCTTTTATCTCTGTGGTGTCCACTGAGACATGGCAGACTGGAGATGGGGAGCACACTGCACTGAGGACCAGTGCATCACTCACACTTCCAGGCAGGGGTCAGTCTGTCCCAGATGTCAATGGTGCCACTGACAACTTTTTTTTTTTTAAATTTGGAGACAGAGTCTCACTCTGTTGCCCTCAGTTGAATGCTGTGGCATCACTGTAGCTCACAGCAACCTCAGACTCCTGGGCTCAAGTGATCCTCTTTCCTCAGGCTCTTGAGTAGCTGGGACTACAGGTGCCTGCCACAACATGGGGCTAGTTTTTCTATCTTTAGTAGAGACTGAGTCTCTGTCTTGCGCAGGGTGGTCTTGAACTCTGGAGCTCAGCGATCCACTGCCCTTGGCCTCCCAGAGTACTAGATTACAGGTGTGAGCTACCATGCCTGGCCTACCAACCACTTCTTGACCCATGGAATTGCCCAACATGTTGCGTACCACTGTCAGAACAGTAGCCTTGTAAGTAGTGGTATGCCCAGATGGAGGCAATGACCGCTTTCAAATGCAGAAGCTGAAATCCAAAGCTCTCTGCTCTCCTATGCACACAGCATCAATACCTTAAGAAACCCAGACCAAAGCAGGAAAGGACCAGACTGGAGCAGCTCAGTGTTCTGGGAGTGGCAAGCACACTATATAAACTTGCATATAGGGGACACAGAGTAGCATCATACAGCCAATGGGAAACAGTGGGTCAAAGCACTTTGAGAGCTGGCCTTGGGCTCTTATCTCATAACTGCACATAAGGAAAAGGCCAGTTAGAGGTGTGTCCTGGAATCCCACTAGGCAGGTGGGATCCTCACACAGCTGGACAAGCCCCTGACAGACATGCACCAAGGAACCAACTACAGTGCAGGACCATAGGAGGGTAAGGACCACCCCAGGGTCAGCCTCAAGCTGAGGCCTAAAGGAACTGGGTAACTTGAAAATTGTGATCCAATTTTGTCTCCCAGACAGAAATCCCAAGTCCTGAAAGCTAGATTTGGGTGCACTGTCCAGAATGGTGGGTGATACTAAGATAAGGTCACCACACCCGCCAGGGCAAATGGGGTACAAGTGATCCAGTGTGAACAGTAAGAAGCTGCTGAGTCAGAAGTGTCCCAGGACAATACAGGTAGTAAGTAGGGGACATACAGGTCAGAGATCTGACAAAAGCTGGTTTGAAGCAGGTGAGAAGCCCAGTAGGTAACTCCTGGCTGCTGCACAGTGGCTGCACTTTTCTTTACATTGCATGTCAGGAGGCAGGTGAGAACTGTGGTTTCCATGAAAGGTGGCAACCCTCTTATGTGAGCATTGAGGACAGTGGAATGCTTGTCGACCTTTTTAGTTTTTTGTTCTTCTGCGGGTGACTCAACCTTAATTTTGACAATTTTAAAGTTTCTCTTATTCACTGGAGGAAGCACTAAAGAATGAGTGTTTGCCATTCTTAAATTTTCAAACTCACAATACTGTGAAAAGTGATTCTTATCAAATAAAGTGACTATCTTGGTGTAAGCTTTCATAGTCATTCTCTAATGTGGATTCTCTTATGTTCAGTCTTGAAGCTCTGCCA